AGCAGAGAAAAAGGGGCTCTGAAATTGGGTTACTGAGGCTTTTCCTGTAAAGGCAGGATTATTGCATTTTATCTTTAATAGCTAGACCTGGACTAATAAAACTCCTTCCACTACGCTTTACACTTCAGCTATAAGCAATTCTCGACTTTACATATAAGATCTGTTTCCTTTTTGACAGGATTTTGAGTGCTAGAGACACATAGGTCTTTCAGCAAGTTACACACTGTTTAGCTAAAGCTTACCTTTACAATCTAGAATAAGTAAAACAGAACAAAACAATCACTCAAACTACATTCTGGGTCTTTCTGAAACTACCCCAGAACCACTCAACCCCTCGCCCCACCCTCCTCCTTACTAAGGTCACTGAAAAGACAATTAACTCCACCTGTCACTCCTCCTTACTAAGAGCACTTAAGAGAATTAACTGCATCTGTTCATGATCACAGCAGTCAGGTGGGTAATTAACAGGTAGCCTACCTGTATGCACACTTTGCATCAGCTGTTTTAGTTGTTACTGTAACATGGGCAACATGACTGATGCTAGCCAATGCCTGGAGAAAGAGAAAGCACCTTTGTAAACCTTCCTCTGGCCACTACTGAGTGTCCACACTTTAAACAACATCACTAAACTTTGATATACTGCTTGCAAGCAGTTAATAAACACCCTTATAATGAAAGTGCAGGTCAAAAGGGCTTTAACAACTTTTAGTACATATAACACTGACTTTTATCCAGGACCTTCTTTTGGCTTTTCTCACATTTTATTACCTCTGCCAATGCAAGTAGCCAAGCATGTAACACAGCTAAAAGAAATTTGCAAAGCTATTGCAGCTGTGCCCTTTCTTTCACATTAACAAAAACAACTGGAAGATTTCAGCTGTTACTTCCTTATCCCTGACCAAATTCATCTCCTGACCATACACAAGATTACAAAGCCCAGTTACAGTGGTTTTCCTGGAAGACTCAATGGACATGCCCACACAGCCCGAGGACCAGAGTCCACTGGTTGTGGAGCTGACTATGGTGCTATTGTGTGAGAAGAGGCCTCATCAGTCCATTCTCTGTAGCATACGAGGATCTACATATCTGAGCACAGGCAGCATACTTAAATATCTCATTGTCCATCAGGAGGGGAAAGCAGAACTCATCCTGGACTGTTCTTTCAGACAAGTTTAGATACAGCCTAGGAGAACGTGGAAAACAAGTATCTCCAAGGGATCAGAGATACTAACTTTGACTAACACCAAAAGCAAAGCAAGACAAATGGACATTTCAAATATTTACCATTACATATGATATTTAGACAAATGTCTGACATGCAAGAGGCACCTTCCACTCAAACCTTTCATTGTCTACTACTTGCAGGGTTCTGAAGCAGCATTTCAGAAGACAGGCCTTGTTCTCCTTAAAAACCCAGAACACAAAACCAACCAACTCTTACTCCAGAAAGCAAAAAGAACATACACCTCTGCCTAGTCATCCATAAAGACATAGAAATGTATTTTAAACTGTATTCACATGGCAGACGCCCTCAGAAAGCAGAAGCTTCAGTGAAGGCCATTGGGAAAGAAACGGTATGTGTAAACCCCGCTACAACAGGGTAACAACCAACAGCAAACAGTGTCAAAACCTGATGAAGAGCTTACCTCACCCCTAAAGCCATAGGTAGAAATACTAGCCAAGTCTTCAAATTTCTGCAGTTTACTCGTAGTAAACCTCTCACAAACAATGTCCAGATCTTCTTTCTACAGGAAAGGCACGAGCAGCAGTCACTTTCCATCCCCAGGTCAAGGTCAGGAACATTTGTAAATCGAAATATGTTTTAAAAGGCAGTATTAAACACTGCAACTTTGTGTACTCACTCGGATGCCACAGCCGTTATCCTGCACCTGGATGAGCTTCAGACCGCCTTCTTTCACTATCACGTTGATACTTGTGCATTTAGCATCCAAGCTGCAGGAAACAAGACAGCATTCTAGAAAGCAGTGATTCTAGAGTGCAGGACTGCACGGCTTTGATATAAAACCTGTCTCGCACAAGTGATGGTTTATTTCTGCTTGCCATTCAGAATCCCAGACTGGTTTGGGTTGAAGGGACCTTAAAGCTCCTCCAGCTCCAACCCCTGCCATGGGCAGGGACCCCTTCCACTGGAGCAGTTTACTCCAAGTCCCTGTGTCCAACCTGGCCTTGAGCACTGCCAGGGATGGGGCAGCCACAGCTTCTCTGGGCACCGTGTGCCAGCGCCTCAGCACCCTCACAGGGATATCAGCATTCATCCTATTTCGGATAAATCCTTACAGCCTGATTACCCCTCCCCTTCTCCCTACAGCGATTCCAAACACCATCCACAGCAATGATGAGCAGCTTTCATGACCGAACCCCCCCCCCCGCCTCCGCTCCTCCCACAGCGCTACGCTCGCCACCGAAGCAGCAGCAATTTTAACCCCAGGCCGCCCTTTCTCTTCAGGAGGAGCCATTAACTGCGCACTGGCAGCACACCATTCACAGCCTTACCCAAGGCCACAGCAGCCCCGGGCACTGATTCAGAGTCACTTCGGACCCGCCGCTCCCCCGCGCGCTCAACCGCACCTCCCCTCAGCACCCAAGGCACGGCCGGCCCCGGGCGCCCCCTGCGGTACCAGTTCTCGACCATCTCCTTGATGGCGTTCGCCGGTCTCTGGATGACCTCGCCGGCCGCGATGCGGTTCACCACGGCCTCATCCAGCCGCCGGATGATGCCAGCCGCCATCGGCGCCGCGACAGGAGCCCCGCTGGGCTGCAAAGGGGCCTGGGGAAGGCCGGCGGCGCGGCCAGCCCCAGCCAACAAACGGGGCTCTGAAGGGAGAGGCGGGAGTGCGGCTGCTGCCGGGGCGGGCGCTGAAGGGGCAGCGCAGCGGAGGCCGGTAACGGAACCGGCGGCACCGCCGCTGCACTGAGATGGCGGAGGGTGGGGAAGGCCGCGGGGCCCCGCTCCCGACAGGCTCTGCTTCCCGCCTCCCCGGCCGGGCGGCGCTCTGATTGGCTGACGTGAGTGCCCATCACGAGGCCAATACACCAATACGGAGGCGGGGCAGGCGGGGCCGGAAGGCGGTGGGAGCACGAGGCTCCACTGCGATTGGCTGCGGGGAAGGGCAGCGAGGAGTGAGCGTCAGCAGCCGCGGAGGAGAGCGCCGCCTGGTGGCAGGAGGAGAAGAAAAATATATAAATATGTAAACCATGTATGTGCGTATATTTATATATGTATTTATATATTTTTATATAAATTATATTAAAATATAAATATGTTTATATGTATTTATATAGTACATATGCATTTATATTGATGTTATAAATTTATATATGTTTTTATATATCTTTATTTTTATAACATATATTTATATATATTAGTATATATACGTTTTATAAAATAAATAATATATTATACGTAGACTATATAATGTATTCATATATAATATATATTATGTAAAAATAAAAGATATAAAATATATATTAGTATGACATATAAAATATATAGGATATACTAATATAATACTACATAAAATATACATTGTTATACAATATTAGTATATTTAGAGCTCCTTGCATCCTTTTGACACCACGTTTGTACCACTGCATCCCAGCCAGCAGCAGCACACATCGTGCACAGGACCTCTGCAAACCAGAATGCTCCGGACCCTCCAAGAACTCAGGGAGCGGTGCATGGTGCTGTTCAGCTGATAAAGCAACAAACTCTCATCACACATCGCCCTTGTTTTAACAGTTTTATTTTAGAAAGTGAACATGTCTGTTAAAAAAGCAAACGTGGAGTTAAAAAAAAAAAGCATATGTAAAACGAATGACAAATTAGCAATAACATAAAATAATGTTACTCATGAGTCCCAACAATCATTAAATAGACTTCGACCGTAGAGAAGTTTTACTTCATTATATTACCAGTCTCTTGATTAGGTACACAAAACGACACGCTTCAGTAATTACCTAGTCAGTAGAAGATCAACTTCAGGAATCACTGAATAATAAAATACATCATGGACAAATATTTTCATATCACCTGGGAGGCAACCTAATATACATACGTCACCAAGGTACACCTTTGTGAGGTATTACAGTACATGGAAACCGTTCCCTTTGCTTTCTAAGGAATAAAACCTGCAGCAGCTCCATCAGCAAGTCAGTCACAGACGTTGTTGCCGGTTTCCAACCCCAACAACTTCCCTCAGAGGTTTTCTTTCTGTAACAGATGACACAAGTCAGGGTAAAGGAAGATGCAAGTCAAAGAAACAGATACTGACAAGGAAAAGGTTTTCTACTCTTCCAGAGGAGTATTAGAAGGTTTCAGACGGGAAGCTTCAGCTTCTCAAGAACATGTAACATCTCCCCTAGCTTGAGCTTTACCACATGTGGTGAAGTGAAAGCATGGGGCAAGAAAATTCCAAATTAAATTAAGTCATTTCCAAAATCAGGAAATCACCTTTCATATTTAACCAAACTGCACTAACAATAACCTTCAGGTGCAGCTGCTTCAGTGTAACCAGTTCATAGTATTAAACAGACTGAGGAGGGGAAAGATCAAGGTGGTTTTGTCCATTCAGTCTTCAAAGTGAGAACATTTGCCCTAGACCTAAGCTAAAAGAAAATCTCTTCCTCGCACTCTTGCACTGCCATCTCCAGAGGAGCACCTCTCCCCCCCATCCAGAAAAAGAAGCTTTTACACATGCAGTTCACCACTGCTCTTCTCAGCACAGCCACAAAGAAATGCTGGAGCGGTTCTGTCCCTACCCTGCAGCCTTTTACACCCTGCTTCCCACAGCACTCTCAGCCCTGTAGGCCTGGGTTAACGAGAACTCAACCCCAGGCTCTCAAGAGCCTGGCAGCCATTAGGGGACAGTCTGGCTTCAAGTGATGAACTGCTAAGAGGTACCCACTGTTCAAATGATTTGGGAAGAAGTAAGAAGAAAGATGTTTTCAGGAATATCCAGGCTGTATGCACAGGAACTGACCTGCTTTTTCCTGTCTGCTATACAACTGGTTTTTCACTGTCTTGTTTTTCTTCAGAATCTTCATCAGATCCTGAAAAGGAAGATAAAAATGCTATCAGAGCACTGGAAAGAAGAAGAAAAAAAAAAGGGGAGGGGGGGGAAGGAAGTGGGGGAATAAAAAGCAGACTCTCACTGGTAATGCTTATTAAAAGGCAAGTCAAAGCAAGGATTTCCCATGTCCTAACGCTTTGTCAACCCTAGATGGAGCTCTAAGCCGTGCATTAATGCCAAGATGCTCAGCAATCAGAGACAGCCATCGAATTATCACCAGTATATAGAAATCCATAACGCAAGATAGGCAAATGTATCTCTGGCCATTAGCAGCTATTCATATTCTCAATGTATTGCATAATACAGCACAGCTTTACAGAAGAAATTTGCAGTTTAGGGTACAAAAGACTGCCAACAGTATTTGGGGGTTCATGCTACCTCCTCAAGTAACTCAAAACCACTCAATCCAGAAATAAATCACTCGTTTCCTTGCAGTTCCTGCAAACACAGTCTTAAATCTTCCTGTGTTTACATTTATTTTGGGGCTTATTTGGCTTATACCTCAACTACAGCAAAGCACATGACATGCAGAGTTGAGATGCAATTAACACTTGCCCTCATTTAATACATTTAATACACCCACAGAACCAGCCTTTTTGTACAGAGAGGGCTTTTTCTTTTTGTTATGAGAGGAAAACGTTTGCTTTGGAGCAGGTTCAGGTTCACTGTCTACCCTAAGCTACTGTAAAGCTCAAAGTTTAGGCTAGATTAAATAGCGCACTACTGCAGAAACACTACTGCCAGCAGGTAAGAAGAGATCACAATCTCAAACTGGAAGGGCCCCTTCCCCTGCCTTACCCTCTGAAGGGGTCAGAGATGCAGGACTTCAACATCAATATGAAAACTCATTCAGTACATGAACATACCTGCTACAGATTCAGGAGGAGAATAGAACTGCCCATCAGAGAGGACCCCGGGGTGAAGAAGAGCTGCTCGTTCAGAAGCATCCTGTGCTATCAAAAACCCTGAAAGGACAAAAACACCCAAACAAATCAATCCTCAGTGCTACCACAGAGCATCTTAAAGGTCAAGTCTATTTTTAATGATCAGGGAGCTGCTACACATCACCAAGTCATTGTCTCCCTTTGCCATGGAAAGACTCCTCATCAATGGCTTGCTTCCACCTGTCTGTGTCAACATACTGAGTTATTCCAACCTTCCACTCCTTTTGGCTCAGTTTCCTCTGAAATCAGGAAAATGATCTGGAAATTACATGGGGCTATTCTGGTGTGTTTAATACAGAATAAACCCAAAAGGGGTTGGGAGAGAAGCTAATTCATCCTCACTGCCATCAACAGGTCTGGTTATAACTGGGCAAAGACGGCGTTTTAGGTCAACATAAGGGGATTTAACTTCCATCGCTTACTCTCTGCCACACAAAGACTGATGGGGGGATAAAAAAGAAACCCCTGATGTTTTACTGAATCAGGAGAGCTACCCGAGGTGGCCACTTATTAACAATAATAAATCCCTTTCCAACTCAAACTTCATTTCTACATCCCAATTTATCCTATTAACTAGTTAAAGTCTCTGTTTGACTTGTCCAAAAGAGGAAGATCAGTCTCTACACTTAACAATAAGTCACAAGATACCAGAAGACACACAGGGGTTGGACTTTAGCTTTAAATCCTGCTCACAGAAGGCAACTTTTAGAGCTGGAAATCAGCTTCAGTGGAAGAAGTCAGGTTTGCCCCTTTTTTTCTCCTTTATTTGTTAAGTTACAGGCAAACCATCTCCAATTTATGAGCACTGCTGCATTAGGCAGAAAACTGCTGTGGTGGTGGGTTTTGGTTGGTTGGGATGGAAAAAAAGTCAGCTTCTACCCTCACTAGAGACAGGAAAGAAAAATACCTGGTCAAAAAGCAAGAACTACTAAAATCAGTTTTCATTATCGGCCTCAGATTTACAAGCAAATGAGGCACTTTGTATATACCACCACCCAACACAGTCCAAATGTGCCTATCACTTGCCTGACTTAATTGCTTCAAATCAGCATTTTCCAGTGAAACCCCATCTTTTTTTGGAAATAGCAGCATCTATTAGTACACAAATGCCATCTATTTCAAGCACAGCAGGAATGAAGGAAAAGAAAGTATCTTTGAATTTCACAGGGATTTAGAAATACAACCTCAATTTTATCAACAAGATCAAGTATTTTACATGTGCATGTATCTAATATCTTGTCTATGAATATTCAGGATAATAAAAATACAAAAGTCTCTGAACTGGTTACACTTCTTACTTGTTGACATAGAAGTGTAGTGCAGCTGCATTTCCTCACCCTCAAAAGAGGAATAGAATTACCCTCAGTTTCCCTTTCTCTAGGCAGAACCCAGTGCATGCTATTAACCAACTTCTTTGTTGGAGTGGTAAAAAAGAAGAGGGAAAGGATCTAAGTAGAAAGATTGCATTTTAGAGCACTAAAAACCCCAAAGGAGACATCCAAGCCCATGTAAAGTTTTTGGTTTTACCTAACAGGCCAACATACCCTTGCAGCAGAGTTTTAGACTACTGCAGGTAATTATACAGTGAACTGTAATGAACTGTTTCATCACTCTCCTGCTGCTGAAACTAACAAAACACTTGTAGCAGAAATCTAGGCTTTCTTTTCTTCACCACTCAAGCAAAACTCTCTTTCAACTACCCCAATGGGTTTCCTCCATTCAGCTGAACACACGGAGTGTCAGGTGCCCTGCTGCCTCACGTTCACAAGGCTGCAATTCACCATTGCTCTGGTCTCACTCTGCCTGAGCATGAAGCAGTCCTTCTACAGTACTTCTTTGCCTTCCCTTTTCCGCCTCAGTGACACTGAATTAGTCACTCTGTCTGCTCTTCCTGAAACAGGAACCAGAGATTATTCTATGCATTGCTCAGAAAATAGAATTTTACAAGCCCAAGTCCATTGAATTTTCAGGTCCTCAGCATAAAAATGATGTATGCTCTTAAGTGCCTGACAAACTGCTGATCTAATCCTTGCAGCTTCTAACTTTGCCTCCTTAAACTAATGAAACCCCCACTTCTCTGAGGGCATGTGCTCCTTCACAGAAAAATTGTGCCATGTGATTTAATTCTTCCCACAGCTCTTTAAGTTTTGAGAATCCCAGACTGGTTTGTGTTGGAAGGGACGTTTAAGCTCATCCAGTTCCAATCCCCTGACAGGGAAGAACTTCTGCCTAAGGTTTCATCTCAGTCTCCCCTCTGGCAGGTTAAAGCCATTCCCCTTGTTCTGTCCCTACAGGCCCTTGTCCCAAGCCCCTCTCCAGGTTTCCTGCAGCCCCTTTAGGCCCTGGAGCTGCTCTAAGGTCTCCCCTTCAGGAGCCTTCTCTTCTCCAGGCTGACCCAGCCCAGCTCTCCCAGCCTGTCTTCCTATGAGAATCTGAAAGAAGCATTCTTCTGCCAGAAAACATGGGATCAAACGTTGCCAAAATGAGGGGAAATAGCAAAAGCTTACTGTTTTCTTCTTCAGCTTCCTGCGGTAACACTTTGAAGTCCAAGAACCAAGTTTCAATCCAGGCAAGTATGAAGGATATGATGGGCAGCACGTAGCCAAAAGCACCCTGTGAGAACAGCTTGAAGGGAAGAAAACCACACAACATTACAGAGTTACCCTGAAGAATTTTACTTTCAAGAAAACAACAAAGTAAACCAAACAGTTGAGTAGAATATATACCTGTGAAATAATTACTTTTGCTAATAAAAAGGCACTGGTCACTGCTGTTGTAAACTGAAAGAGACAGGGTAAGAACAGTTAAGGCTAATAAATGGATTTACTTTCTCATTTCTGCCATTATCTATCAGTTGCAACTTTAAATATTTACCAACAACAGCAAGATCATAGGCTAATAAAACATAACATGTAAGATACAAATAAAGCGCTATTAAAATAACCTCCTTCCTAAAGGTAACTTTTAATACTGACATCTCCAAATGTTAATTGCCACGCAGCAATTAGGCAGTTTAGATGCTACACAGATGCTGAGCTATGTAAATTGTGATCTTCCCGTATAACGAAGATCCAGTATTTTATCCACAAAGCCCCTGTAGAAACTATCTATGTATTTGGGAGAAAGCAAACAGCAATTGCTCCAAATGCTTCTTACGCTACCATGTAAATCAAAGTATCTATTTCAGGTAAAAGATCTTTACAGGAGTAAATCTAAATTTGTATTTTAATTCATGTACTGATACTGTGAAAAATTAATTCCCTTGAAGACTTTATAGTCCCTGCCATAAAACCATGGCAGCCTGCATAAAACAAAGCAGTAGTGGACAAGTACCACTCACTTAGGCAAGGCTTATAACTCTGCTAGTGCATTTGGGTCCAGCAATTCTTTAAGTAACATCAGAACCTTTTGGTAAAGCACAGGTAGGAATTTAAGATTAACAGCTTCTGCAACACCTTCAGTGAAGCTTTATATATCTGACCGCTTACTACCATGACGGCTTCACTCCCACCACCTCACAAACAACTGTGTCAAGCTGAGGATACCACTGGAAGTACTCTTCAGCTGCACAACCAACAGTTAGAGATTTTGAGAGGCATGCACTTAAAAATAAACACAGTGCAGCAGTTGCTATCACTTGTGCTTGTGCCATGCTAATAACCTTAAAAGATCATGGCATGTAATCTCAGACTACTGAATAAGCTGCATGTTAATCACTTGAAGAAAGTTATACATGAACATGTTCTACATGCACTTACCACAGTGTAAGGGAAAATAAGATTTACCAAGATTTTGCACCAAGCCAGCAACATGCCTATTTTTTATAATCTATAGCACTGACTGGTGTATGGACTATCACACTGACTGGTACAGATTATCATCAAGTTTTGCATTCTCTCTCATCTACACAGCAGAGCTGCACACTCACTGTGCTGGTAAATTCTTGTCTTTAGGCTGGAAATCTTCCAGAAGTTTTGAATCTGTACAGCAGACTTTAAGGTGATTAATTATATCAAGATGATTTCATATATCAAGATGAATCAAGATGATTCTTAACATACAAGTGTTAAGAGGCATCTAAAGTTCTTTCTGTTTGATCCATTCTAGTTAAAACTCCATTATGCTTGGCTACTACTCACAGCTATTGCCCACCAATGGCGCAGTCTGCACATTGCATATGCAAGTATTAACACCTTAAATCGAAAGACTGCCAGTAGCTATAGAGAAAGGAAAAAAATAGTTGTTGGTTAATGCAGAACACAGCAGAACCACAAGAATCTCAGCTCACTGAAAATACTCATTTCTTACAAAACTTAAAACAGGACAATCCAAGCTCTGTTACTGAGAAACAAATTTGAACATGTGCTTATAAAACAAACAGAACATTATTTCCCATTTGTAAAGCAAATGGCACCACTCATATGCCTACATAGGCTCTAATATACAAGCATGTGCAATTACACAAGTTAGAAACACAAGAGAGCTACACAAAGTATGTTCATGATCATTTTACCTGGCTGCAACCTAAGCAGTTAAATCTAGATGCAGTTAATCCAGCAAATACTTTGAGCATCACTTTGCATCTCACTGATCTTAGTGGTGTGGTACCGGTCAAGAGTAGCATTAAAAACTGTAAGTACTTCACAAATACAATCAGAAAAGGGGAAGAATTGTTTTAAACTATTTCCTACTTACTAAAGTTTAAGTATTTATTGCAATATTAGGCTTGCAACAATCAATTCTTCTTTACGGAGGAGCCTGCAACAGCAAGCTGTTCCAAATACTCTGCAGTAAATAAAGGGAAGGTATGGCATCTCTGGGCCAGAAAATTCAATCGATAGCAGACAAGATTTCTGAATCAGGGGTGCTAACCCTCAATTTCCCTGTTTATTCTTCACTATTGGATTTCTTCCAACTTGCTTTAAAAGATGCATTCAGAATCTAGAAAAATGTGAAACAAAGGCTTAAAAATTAAGGGGCATCAAGGACAGGCACGGACAGAGGTGTGATGAACCCATTTAATCTTAAGCAAATACATATGTTTCAGTGTTGTGTGGCAGAAACAGAAGAAATCCTGTATAAGCTCATAAACCATTTTGCAGAATTCAGTGACCTCATCCTTTCCCAGGGAATAAAAGTCTATTATCTTGCATTACATGTTTTTAACCCTTGCTTAAACTGAAGGGCAAAATAATTTCCAGAGCATCAACATTTTGCTTTCTGCAGTAAACTGTATCATAAAGAGCCTGACAGGAAAGTAACAAGAAAGGGGGCAGTAGCATAGTTTGCTAGCTTATGACATTTTTGTATCTGGTACCTCATTCCATTCCATGGTACCTCCATTTCAAAGAGAGATTCTGGATATAGTATAGTACACACCAAACCAACTCATCTCTGCCAGGCAAACAAGATCTGGTAGTATTAATGATCTTGGAGGAACATGGGGCCTTTGGGAACGGGAACATTGGAAGAACCATAAAGAAACAGCTTTTACTTTGAGATCAGTAACTTGGTCCATGCAGTGCAAAATGCATTGCAACTACAGAGCTACAGCGTGGCTGAAAGAGGAATTTCCTGATGTAGCAGTATTCCTCTCATGTGCCTTAGGTGCTTACAAGGAGAATCAAACTTAGTGTCATCTCTTTTTAGTATAATGTTAAAAAACCCTGTTGGAGTTAAAACATAGAAATCTGAAAAACCATCTGACCAGGCCAACCTGGGAACAAGCATCTCCTCACTGCAACCCACTGATTTCTGTGGAAGGATAAAAACGTTGGTTTAAACAACCTGATTTTACAGCTGGAGGGCTATTGGTCTTCTGAATAAGTTAGCTCTAGTGAAGTGAAATTTGGCACAAACTCTTTCAGTTTAAAGCATCAAGAAAATATCCCTTTCACAGGACTCAAACTAGGGAAAGTGTGGAAGTAGGAACATGGGAAAACTACACTTCTGCTGCTTTTTCTCCTTTTTCTTTAAGAACACTTACAAATATATCAAAATATGAAGAAGAGTAGTCATATTGTAGGACTTCTTTCTCTAAGGTGGTCTCAATGCCTCCTTTTACCTACAAAGAAACAACACACACCACTTTAGAACAGAAGTTACTGAACCCAAAACACGTATCACTGTGAAGGGTGAAATTAATAGCTCCCCACAGGCACACAAAGATGCACAAAAAGATCACTAAGTACAAAGGACATATGGCCTATGAATATCAATTTCAAGATTAGTGTCCTTATTTGGTTTTCATGATTATATACAACTTTCAAAATGAAAACATTTAGGATTATCATCTGGCCTATGCAAGCTGCATTTCAGACTGTCCCAACATAAAAGCAAACCAGTTGTTGATGGAAGAAGATATGATTAAAGGTAAGGTCTGTTACACATATCCATAAGGCATTTTATGTCTCCTAAGGAGAACAACCAAAATAGCTGATCAAAAAGCTCTCAGAAATTAGCTGGTCTTAGTCACATGTTAGCAAACAGGAAACAAAACAGTTACAGAATTCACACTCTAGATCTTGTCTTTAGCAGCACACACACTACTTGAGGGAGCTGAGAAAAACACCCCAAACCTGTAAAACAGAAGCTGCAACTAGACCATTTCCCCACAACTAACACCCAAGTTAAATCTTTCATTCGCTTGAGGGGATTCAAAATTGCATCCTCCTTAGCTACTGTGTTTCCTTCCAGTGGGAGGATTCGGCACTTCCCTGTTCAAACTGGGTTAGTAAGAAAGTCATTCACAATGTATTGCGTCAGAGAGTGAGAGGGGTATGTATCTCAGCTGGAAACAAAACCCCTTAGTGTCCATATCCTATTGCTGTTAAGTTCAACAATTAGGCACTTCAGGAAAAATGTAAAGCACTGGAAAACACAGCCAACATTAGACTTTAATACTGAGCTTGACTACTTTGTCATCCTGTTAAAGAAAGGATGCCAAGGAACACCAACAGCATATGCTCACCATCTCAAAGCAATGCAGTCTATACACTTCCACATTCAGCCCAACTATACTGCTGGGCAGTTTTCATAGAGCCATAGAATGGTGTGGGCTGGAATGGACCTTGAAGCTCATCCAGCTCCAACCCCTGCCACGGGCAGGGACCCCTTCCACTAGAGCAGCTTGCTCCAAGCCCCTGTGTCCAACCTGGCCTTGAACACTGCCAGGGATGGGGCAGCCACAGCTTCTCTGGGCACCGTGTGCCAGCGCCTCAGCACCCTCACAGTTTTCCTGAGACTATTCATTTCAACTCCAAATTTCTCCTCTCCCTTTCCTCGATGGCTACCTGGCAACTTTCTAAATAGAACTTCCCCTTGGTTTCTCTACTGCATCAGGTGTGATCATCTCTCTTCAGCACAGATAAGGAAGCTCAGCTTCCCCCCCTTCAAGCTGTTTAACACAGGGCTGCATGAGCACCATGTTAATGTAAGGATGAACAGTGGAGGTTTGCTCAATCTGACATGGAGCTACTCCCTGAAGTGTTTAAACATAAATTTCATCTAGGCACACTGGATAATGGTGACAAAGGGAAAACAATACTTACAGCACCTCTGGCAGCAACTGTGAAGTCCCACTACTTAGGCACCAGTGGCAGACAGTGCTATCTGACTGCCCAAAGAACACAATTCAAAACAACAGAAGAAAAGAACCTAATCATGTGTGAGATCCCAGATATCAAGTTATGACTTCCAAAGATAAAAAACTGTTTTCTGTTTTGCTCACACTGGGCTGTATAGGACTCTGGTTCATAGTATGTTCTCCTTAAAACAAAGGTTTTTCACAAAGGAAACTGCTAGGATCTTGAGGTCCCTTAATGCTGCAGCATTCAAACTGAAACATTATGAGCGTGTAGCATTTTCTGTACGGAATATTAAATATTCTGTGGGTCCCAATATGGAAATCTGTACTGCGAGTCTTCAACAAGTGATACAAACCCAGACCCTGCTCCTCTTAGTCGGAACAAGCTGCTGAGAAACTGGCCTAAAAGAAGAAATGCACTGGAACCCTATACTGTTTTTCTGAAAGAAGCTACCTTTACCCACTGGATACAACAGTCTTGCCCCCTAGAGAGACAACAGAAATCTAGTCCCAGGATTGCAGCATTCAGCTGAGCAGTCTTTCTCAAATTAAAGTGTTATTTTTCACAGTAACAATGAACTACTTGAACAGTCAGCACCTGAAACTTCAGAATGCCAGCTCAATAACCGAGGTTATTTATCCTGTAATGGAATCCTGACACAAAAATGTTTACACAAGATCCTTCTTGTCTAAAAAAGGGATTCCTCCCATTTTTCCTGTGTCCTTTATTTAATACATATTTTAGATCATAGCTTAAAAAACACAGCTCAAGAACTAGGATGCTACTTTTGAAATAATAACTCAGCTGTCCTATTGCTTTCTGGCAATTTCAGGAGACCCGTCCCATTTTCCAAATTACAAATGCTGGAGTTAAAATACAGTAACTATGGGACTCTGTGTTGTTTAAATGCACCCTGCCATACACAATGTATAGCATACTAAGTTTGTCTCAAAGAAGATACACCACAACAAACAACAAGGGTTTGGTCATTGGAAGTCTTTCCAGGGACTGACACCTCAGTGAAATGCTACTGACTAGAAGTTACGCAGAAGGCAAACTCTTAAATCCTGTTAAAACTCGTACTTGCCAAATTCAAAGACATACAGTAACATTTTTGTTTATTTGCTGCCTGAAAAGTTCACTGGATTTCCAGTGGTTTCTGATTCACAGAACACCAAAAGGTTTAATGATGATAATAAGCCAGGTACCCTAATGAATAAAGTAGATGCAGCTGAGTAGATACTATGTTCATGAAAGCTGCTTTAATTTAAATAGGTAAAGATAGCATATAATTTGGGATAGAAAAGAGCAACTTATTAACCACTCATGAAGTGAACAAATAAATTAATACAGTCTAAGTGTACTGAAAAGACAACTCACATTTAATTCTATTATCCACAGCAAGGTTATGAATAAGAGATCAAATGTAACAAACAAACAGAAAGTCCTTCTGACATCTGATATGCCCTTCTTCTCTCTGCCTTCATATGATTCAATCCTTGCCATCAGCTGTGCTGGGTTGATGGAGTGGACATCCCGCAAGGAAGGACAGGATTCCACGCTGCTACTGTGAGCATTGTCTGTATCACCTGGCACTCGATTCATCCTGGGTTTGCTTACAGTGGTCTTCTTCCAGTTTCACCATCACTAGAAGGCTGATCCATATAGGAAGAATCTCTAAACAGACAAACAAACAAAACCATAACATTAGTCACCAAAGCCCCAGAATTCCCATAGGTATTTTCACCTACTCATGCCAGTTCTCTTTCTGCTCAGCTGACAACTAATAGAATTTTGCAAGTAGGCTCAAAAACTTGTTTCTGAAATGAGATCTAGCCAGGCTCTCTTCATCTCTCGGGGGGCTTGTGACACAAGAAAATTAATGTTCAACTAGACTGGTGGGAATAAGGGAGTGCTGTCTAGATTTAGAAGGCTCCATCCTCCGCACTGCTAGAGTGAAACCATTAAACGGGAATGAATGACAAGCACAATGCTGTGCATCCTTTAGGTTTCCAATTCTGATTTAAACACACTCAGAGGCCAACTTAAAGGAATTTCCACATACTACCTGAAAAATGGCACCATTAACTACCAGCACTTGCAGAGCTCACACAACCACAAGATTAAAAGTACTTTAAAACCCCTGTATACTGTAGTAAACATTCTACAAAGCAAATACGTTGCTATTTGTTCTGCTATAAAGAAATCCAGATGCTGTGACAAATGGCATGGGCAGACAAGGGGTCTCCGAAAAAACCTGTATGCTACTCAGTGTCTAAGGTAATGCAGCCACCATAAATCTCTTGTGACTGCAAGACTTGAATAAAAATCAGGTTAAATTTCTTATAAAAGTGGAGCAATCTGATGTACAGTTCACTCCACTGCTCCATGAGAAACCTTTTCCAATTAAAGCTTCTAGAAAGTGTCAACTAAGGAGGTCACAGAAAACTTCATTTTCTGCAAAACACTCAGAAGATTAATCTATGCCTCCTGCAATACCAACCCCATGAGACAAGCTTCTGTAACACTGGGGGAATACTTTCTGAAACTCAAGAACAAAACTCTTTGTCTCTTCCTGTGTGGGCTGCCTTTCAGTGACAGAAGGAGGAACCTTGCCCACTCTTCTACTCCAACAATGTTCCAGTTAAAAGCCTGCAAGAACACAATCCAAGCACAACAGGAAAAGCAGACAGGGGATGTGTAACGCACCACAAAGCAAGCATGAGGATACAAGGACACATGAAAAGGAAAGGGTAAGCAAGGAGTTGCCAATGCACCCACAATGCAGTTGAGGAAGAGGCAGGCCAGCCAGGCGTGGCCAGTGGCTAGATCAAGTAATACATTAACAGCCTTCAAGCAGCTCAAAGACTGCTTTTCTTGGGCTAGGTCATGAGAATGGTAACAGACCCGCACCAAGGGAAACTACCATGCAGATGGGTCTCTGCCTGCAGGGAACAACCGGTCAGAGCCACTATTAATCACCACCTCATTCTGGGACATGGCTATGGGCCAAACCAAACACAAGCACAGGCAGGCTATTGCCATCCTGCTCCTGCCTGGCAATCACCCCAGGATGCTCCTGCTCATGGCTTTCCAAAGACAACACAAGGCATATGTCTTCTGGTTCTCAGTTGTAAGCCACGAGACCAAGAAATGTGACAGACCTTTTGCTGGGCCTAATCTCTTTTGAAGAGGTGTGGCAGAGCACACATGAGCAGAGAAATTAAGAAGTGGGAATATGAGATTGAGATAGCCAGTTTCATCATTAACCAGAATAAAAATATAGACAAATTTTTGCACTGCACTCACTCCTGTTTCAAGATCTTTTCAAGCAGATTTACAGTTGAGCATCTTCATTACTTCTCATTTTCACCCTCCTACTTACCATACTTGGGGTGAGAGGTCTCGGGATCCGTGCAGGTGAGAGTGGGGGAAAAACAGCAATAAACAGCAAAGAAGTGAGACAAGACAAAATTAAAGTATGCCAACACAGTGGCTTTATCTTGAGTACTTAGAACTAGAGTAGCTCCGGCTTGTCCCTGAAATAGCAGCTCTTCTCTATCCCTTAGGCCAAAAGAACATTTCTCATCCAACACAAAAGATGAATACACAGGATAGACTTAAGTACATCTTATACAGCATACAAATTACTCTTATATTTATAATGCACAACTGGTTCTATACTAATGAGTACAAATGAACCCTGAAATACATTATCACCAAGGTTTTGAAAGATACACCACCAAGCAGATGGCTAGACGTCAGACGAAAACAAAGCAAGAAGAGCAATGAACTTGCCGTGATGAGAAAGTGAGTGGTAACACACTTTTGCTAGCAAATTAAGGTTATGCTGTTTTGCCTACTTTCTATAATTTCTTTCACATGGTGTTTAAAGTTTATATTCTACAAAGTGATTACACAACTGATTTCTGAAGTCAGGCTATTTATTCTTTGAGTAAGTGCTGTACTTGAAAAATATTTAGGTAACTTCCTCCTGGAAAAGAAAAACCAAAACCAACAGCAGCGACAACAAAAGCAAATAAACAAACACACATACACCCCCCCAACAACCACTAGTTTGGGGGTTAAGTTTGCTTGGGAAAATTTGCTTCTCCAATTTCCTATGCTTTAACGGCGATCTAACAAAAGTAAGAGGGCAGCTGCCACATCCCACATTCATACTGAACAATACTGGGCTCAGAACCTTAGAAGAAGGTGCTGAAAAGTGCTGGACACAGTATGCAAGGTAAAAGGAGAAAGCAAAAAAGTCAGTATTTTGGGTCAGGGTCAGTAGGACATCTGAGAAAACAGCAACGTCACCTTCCCCTATCCCAAGAGCGAGAATCACAGATTCAAAACCTCACATCAAAACGCTCTGACCTTGGACTCATTTTTCCCTGCACTGAAGAAGCCCTGCTGCTGAGCAGTGTCCTGCAGAATGCTGCTTTCCTTTCACGATCACTTCACTTCTTGTTCTACAGAGCAAACAGCTTCTAAATTCGGTGCCTGAACTTCATTGATTTTATCTCCATTGTCACCTTCCCCTCCGAGTTCCTTCTTAACAGCAGGGAAAGAATGTATCAAAGAGCAGTTCTTCAGAGCTAAACCAAAGTGAGTTTGAAAATATACTCCATGCTGAATTTGTGACACGCCAAAACACACTTGTCAGAACTTCAAATATGTGGAACTGAGATTTTATTTAATCAGGAGTGTGTGATTTTAAATATGCAACTGTATTCTAAGAAAAATACAAAGAACTAACATACAAAACAGATGCATCATAACACGTTCCAAAGGTGTGCCTCAGATCTCAGCTGCAGCACTTAAAGACATTTAACTATTGCAAGCAACAAAACTGAAATGTGTGGGTTTTATCACTGTTAAGTCCTCAGAACACCCAGCTATCTCAGTTATCTCACAGTATTCACTTATGTAATCAACTACCAAAATTAAGTTATTGTTTTACTTTTAGGGGAACATCTCCTCTCTCTTGGTTTAGACTAGTCCTAGACTAGTCTTGCCAAAAACCCGAAACTAAATGCAATCAGCTCTCTACAGTTCAATCAACAATGTATGCATACTGTATTTTTATACACGTCATGCTCAGGTATGCATGCCAGTAATATGCAATAGCTGCATGCAACAAAAAAATAGAAAGAAGAAAAGCTAAGAAGCCACTGATTTCTTGCAAAAGAGGGAGGGAGAAGTGGGCATAAAGGGGAAGTGGTACAAAGATAGAGATAATTTAAAAAACTTTGCCAAATCTGGTCTTAGCTCTTTTTCACATCTATTCCCTTGTCCCTGAAGCCAGCTTTGTAGCCCAGCCAACAGCAGCTCACAGAAATAAAGATTTCACTGCAAATCTGACTCCACTAAGAACTGAATAAGCAACAGGGGCTTATAACCCATTCAGTTTCTCAGTTTAAACAACTGCAGGCCAAATAAACCTTTCAGGTATCAGGTTAGCATTTCTCTAAATAAGGAATACAATTACTTAAAGAGCCCAAACATCTCAGTGATAGCCTTGCACATCAAGCATGACAACAAGTTTGTTACATTGGATACTCATACAGGTGTGTTTGTCTTCTCCAATTCAACAACATGCCCCAGGGCTGATAGCCAGGTACTACTGGAACAAGAAAAGTTCTTCTTTTGCTAGCACAGAACTGTGGGACTCTTCCTGAAATATGTCATTTCAGTCATTTTCTGTATCTTATCTGTATGTATAATATGTATTTATTCCCTCACTGGGAAACAATCAGGATTCCAGCACCCCCTCAAAAACCATTCAACAAAATGATGCCAAAGATTTCTCCAGGCAAACTCAAGCCCTGGAAATTCGGCAGAGATCTTAAGAAATACAGTATTTTAAAGAAGCTGACATCCATTTTCGAATGCAGGGTAAACTTTTGTTAGATTTTTCACTTTTAACTCTTATTTTATAGCTTTTGAAGATGCTTCAAAACAAAAGGAAATATCAGGGGTTTACTCCATTTTTTCTCTTTATTACATGTTTGAAGAACATTGTAACGAAATAATTACCCAGTCCAAGCAGCAGCAAAGAATATCTGAACCTTCAGCATAAAATATTTATTCTAATACCCCTGCATGCAACTCATCCTGATTTTCTATAAGTGCTAGATAGAAATTAACTCCTGATGTCTGAAGGGATGCTGTTTCAGGCCTTCAGCTGATGACTGAGTAGCTGATCTTAACATGAAAGTGTGATGGCACTACAAGATACCCGTTTGATTCTTTACCAAGATCATTTTTTTTTTGTTCAACCTTTTCTGTTGAATCTTACTTCTAGCTGGGTTTAACACAGTGAGGCAGAAAGGTAATATACAAGTTGTCTTTTAACACAATCCCCAAGTGTTTCAAATTCAGAACAGATTTTTAGAAGATACAGTTACATTAAGCAACCATTTACCAAGCCACACATGAGTGAACCTTTAAAGGGACTCAGCTGAGGTGCTGGCTGCTGCTGGCTAACCACACCAACTCCCAGTTTCTGCTGGTACAAGTGTGAGTTACCATTACTTCATCGCTAATCCCTTCTGCAAAAGCACTGCTAATATTGTGAGTGCTGACTTAATTCACAGAATAAAATCCATTCATCCTGCTTAGCAGAAATTAGGTTTGGTGCTGTAAAACATGTTTTAAAATACAGTTATTCAAACATATGTTTCAATAGGATGGTCTGATGCAAGTTTAAACTTGTAAAGTCCAAATATATTACTTTGTGTGAATGAAGGCCCATAACAGCTGTGCTAAACAGTTCACAGCCAAAAACTTGAGAATGCTTGAAGATTAGAATGTATCACCTCCAGAAAACCACATTTCAGCCCAAATACACCAAAAGGAACACCTAATCCATCTGAGCTACGGTTGGTGTTTCACAAATTTCAGCACTGTTAGAAAGGTCAGTTATTTTGTTCTCCACCTATGAAGCCTATAAAGAATAACGTTCTTCCTGAGAAACTGTAACACAAAAAAAAAAACAAACAGAAAAACACTTCATGTTAAGGATCTGTGTCATGACAACAAGACCACTTGTTGTCTTATGCAAAGTATCTGGCCCTGAATACTATCAACAAACAAACAAAACCCCATTACTCTGCATCTGGCCTACTTGAAACTGCAAAGCTGTTAAAAAACATCTACTAAAAATAATATCAACCCTATTGGCTTATAAACAGAAATGAGCCGTCTCACAATGCTGCACTGACTAACAATCTCCCAAAACCCTCAGATTTCCAGAACAAAATGACAGCTCTCATAACAACTAATGCTCAGCACAATCCTAGATCCCATTATAAATGCCGAGATGACAAACAGATATAATAAAATATACTGGCAACACCGTACAGCAATATTGTGCTGGCCTTATGCCTCTGAGCTCACTAACATGCTTAAAACAAATACACACACACCGCATTTGTGGCAAAGTATTTTCCATGCCGAAGACAATCACTGTATCTACTTACACCTGAGTACCACAAAATTGGGGGCTGACTCAATGTTAGCCCTTCATCAATGAGTAACCTGAACTGCTACTGCAGATAAAAGTGCTGTAAGCTCAACCAGCCTGCTCTGCAATCGTACCTGTGTAGCCCTTCAGATACCCCCAAAACATTATAATTCAAGAATGACCTGCTTTTAACGCAGATGCTGAAATCTGGCAATGCCTCTCTAAAAGTTGACACTAAAACTAAACCTCAGCCCAACCTTTTCCTGTAATGAAAACCAGAGGCTTCACAGACTCACAGAGTGTTTTGGGTTGGAAAGGACCTCAAAGCTCCTCCAGCTCCAGCCCCTGCCACGGGCAGGGACCCCTTCCACTGGAGCAGCTTGCTCCAAACCCCTGTGTCCAACCTGGCCTTGAACACTGCCAGGGATGGGGCAGCCACAGCTTCTCTGGGCACCCTGTGCCAGCGCCTCAGCACCCTCACAGGGAAGAGCTTCTGCCTAAGAGCTCATCTCAGTCTCCCCTCTGGCAGGTTTAAAGCCATTCCTCCTTGTCCCAAGCCCCTCTCCAGGTTTCCTGCAGCCCCTTTAGGCACTGGAGCTGCTTTAAGACCTCCCTGGAGCCTTCTCCAGGCTGACACAGCCCAGCTTCCTCAGACTGTCTCCACAGCAGAGTTCGCACACCCTGATTTGCTCACACCGTTATCAGCAGGGCAAACAGGTCACTGCACCTCCGCGAAGGTGCTTACTGAACCGGGACCTCAACAAGAGGGGAAATCCTCCTCCAGCCTCAAGCCCCACGGGTCGTGCAGGCGGCCTGGGCACAGGGCAGGGGCCTCGCACGGCCCTTCCGCCGAGCATCCCCCGAGCCGCCGCAGGCACCCCGTGCCCGGAGAGGGGACCCGCACCCCGACCGGCCAGCACCTTACCTCCTCCTCCTCTCCCCGCCTCCGGCAAGAGCCGTTTCTGTCACCCCGCTCCCA